CACTTGTGGTCCATGCCCTTATTTAGAACAATTGTGGTTCACGCCCTTATTTAGAACACTTGTGGTTCATGCCCTTATTTAGAACACTTGTGGTCCATGCCCTTATTTAGAACACTTGTGGTTCATGCCCTTATTTAGAACACTTGTGGTTCATGCCTTCATTTAGAAGACTTGCGGTTCATGCCCTTATTTAGAACAATAGTGGTTCACGCCCTTATTTAGAATACCTGTGTTTCATGGCCTTATTTAGAACACTTGTGGTCCATGCCCTTATTTAGAACACTTGTGGTCCATGCCCTTATTTAGAACACTTGTGGTTCATGCCTTCATTTAGAATACTTGTGGTTCATGCCTTCATTTAGAACACTTGTCGTTTATGCCCTTATTTAGAACACTTGTGGTTCATGCCGTCATTTAGAACACCTGTGGTTCACGCCCTTATTTAGAACACTTGTGGTTCATGCCTTCATTTAGAACACTTGTCGTTTATACCCTTATTTAGAACAATTGTGGTTCATGCCTTCATTTAGAACACCTGTGGTTCACGCCCTTATTTAGAACACTTGTGGTTCATGCCTTCATTTAGAACACTTGTGGTTCATGCCGTCATTTAGAACACCTGTGGTTCACGCCCTTATTTAGAACACTTGTGGTTCATGCCTTCATTTAGAACACTTGTCGTTTATGCCCTTATTTAGAACAATTGTGGTTCATGTCCCTATTTAGAGCAATTGTGGTTCATGTCCTTAATTAGAACACTTGTGGTCCATGTCCTTATTTAGAACACTTGTGGTTCATGCCGTCATTTAGAACACTTGTGGTTCATGCCTTTATTTAGAACGCTTGTTTTTCATGCCCTTATTTAGAACACTTGTGGTCCATGCCCTTATTTAGAACACTTGTGGTTAATGTCCCTATTTAAAACACTTGCGGTTTAAGTCCTTATTGAGAACACCTGTGGTCCATGCCTTTATTTAGAACACTTGTTTTTCATGCCCTTATTTAGAACACTTGCAGCCCTTGTCATCTTGTGGAGGTGGCATTACAAAAAATTAATTAAGCTAACTATAGTGAATACTACAATACTGCACAATTTGAAGAATGCTATAACAATTTAAATAATGTAATGCGATCTCATAGATCATAGATTTAGAAAGATAATAGCCCAAGTGTCCAGCACATAATTTCAGTTGTTATGTCTTCTTTTTTTGTCTTCCAATGAATGACTGCATCGCAGTGAAGAAACCTAAACCTTGCGCTATTTCTATGACACAGTCAAGCGGCAAAATCCTGAAATCAAATGACAAGAGATTAAAGGTTAATCAATGACACCATTGAATCTACACTACATGACTATTAACATTTAGTAAACAATTAATTTGTAAAACATAATATTATACAATTCTGAAATCAAATGACCAAACTAACAATTAATACATTACATCATTGAATCTATATTGAATGACTATTCACATTTAGTGAACAATTATATTGTATAATATAATACAATTCTAAAATCAAGTGACCAAACTAAAAATTGATTAATGACAATATTAAGTCTTCATTGAATTTACATTTAGTAAACAATTATTTTGTGAAACATAATATTATACAATTCTGAAATCAAATGACCAAACTAAAATTACTCAATGAAATCATTGAATCTTCATGGAATTACTATTTACATTCAGAAGTACTACTTTTTCACTCGTTCAGTGTTCAAATAGTCTGCTGAACTTCGACAGCAGATAGCTGAAACAAAATTACATGCAGCATTAACCCACATACTAGGATCGCCTGCAGTCTATTGCGATTGCAATGAAAAATGATTGAATCACGAATCTGATCGGTAATGTGAGGGCGTTTACACTGATGGCAAGTCTGTTGGGATTTCGCGATACATGACTTTCAGGTTCACCCCTCGTTTACGCAATTGATACTTATTTTTCATCGGAATCGCAGAAGTCAATGCGAGATTTGAACAGCTGAGAAATTGTTAGCGGTATTTTAAGATGTTATTTTTTTATGGGACGGAAATGACTGCCAGTGGGTCAAAGGTCAACAAAATAAAATGCAAATCAGTGTGCATAAATTTATATCACTTTGTCTTGTCTTTGTATGAAAATTGAACAAAAATTTTTTTTTGAACAAAATTGGTACAGGTATGTCAGGGAAATGCCTAAGGTTTCATGCCACTAATCAACCAATGACCGCTCATAGCCCTCAATTTAAATGCCCTGCAAGAACAAATGAATTTTTTTTTTCTCAGGTGCTCCCTGTTTGAGGGCGTGATCACCTGGGTCAAAGGCGAGACAAACATGTGGTCTTTTGTTTACTACTTAGCGGTTGTGTCGTCTATGGAGTTGCAGTTAGTGGTATGAGACCAGAAGGGACAGATTGCCTAGGACCACCTAGGAATGTTGTTTTGACCATAATTATGGCTCTATTTACTGGAATTTAGTCATTTTTAGAATATCTCATCTTACGTAACCCAAAGTTTACTTTGACCTAATTATTGTAAGTTTTAACCTCTTTTGACCTTGTATAGATCTGATAATTATGAGGTTGTGTTTTCAAGCACACATTTCATGAGATCAGCTCCATTTATTTTGCAGATGGAGTGCAAAGTAAATGGGAATGTTTTTTTATTTTTATTTTACCACTTTTCTTGCTTTGTATTCAACTATTTAGACACAATGGAGTAATTTTTCATCCATTTGTGTCATGTTTTGCTACGCGTTTCACCTATTTTTGTAAATCTCTTATATCTTGGTTGAAGAATTTGAAAATTGGAAATTCAGTATATTTTTTTGTCCTAATCTTATTAATTTGATTTAGGTTGGGATGTGGTCTGTAAATATAAATGTTTTTATTTAACTGGTCTAAAAATGTTATTCATTCATCAATGAATTATTCATGTCACCACTAATTTCAATGGCTCTCGGAATTCTGAGAAAAGTGCTTAACCTCATTTTATGGGATTTTTGTCTTATTTTCACATTATGGCAGACAATCTTAACAATTTGTAGTGTGATTATTATTAATTTACTCTATTTGAAGTTTAATGAGGTCAAACTACCAAATTTTCAAATACATTCTCAAAATTGTGTTGTATAATGTCAGTATATTAGCCAAGTATTACAACTGTTTCAATTTCACAATTATTGCTCTTTTCTCAGAATTGTTGTGAATAGTTTGCTAATTAATCCCATCTTGAGTTTATTATTGAACAGTGCTTGTACCCCCCCTCCCCCCGAATTAATCAGAAATACAGTTGATTTGGGTTTAATTTATTGAGGGATGTGTAATGTGAGTATTTTATATGTAGACCCTTTTCTGGTTAGTATATTTTTATTTTTTTTCTATATCATGAAATTGTTTTTTTTAACTACTTTTGTTCACATAAGATTCGATTAAGCTCTTTATGTAAAGCAAATTCCATGTGTGACCATGGTTAGTCAAACCACTGTTGTGTTTTGGTATATCCAAGGTTGCCCGTCACAGGTTTCCGGCCTAAATGCAGATACCGTAGAATTTTTTTTTTTAATAATTGGGAGAAATAATGAGCGGATGAATTGTAATTTTTGATTCGGTAGAATTTTTTTTTTCATAATTATAGTGATAAACTACCTTTAATTGTCATAATTATATGTATTATTTTTTGAAATTAGTTAATATTACTGATAATGCCAAATGTTGGTCTGTACTTGTTTGTGGTGAATGAGGGCATTATACTTTACAGTACTGCGTCTAATAATCAGGCTTATATTCATTGCCTACTATATCTAATTTGGTGTTATTCTGAGTGTGTATGTTGCCAATTCCTACAACTAATTGTTGGGTATAGGGCGCCACCAAGTGGTAGATTTTGATAAATAACTCCCAGGGTTTAAATTTGAGGGATTTTTTTTGCATGGGAAATTACTCGTCTAATGATATTGGATCATATACAAGATCAACAAGAACTTTATTAAACCTTAATTATTGCCACAAATCAACCAATGGCTGCTCAATTTAAATGCCTTGCAAGAACAAATGACTTTTTTTAAATTCTTTTTTCTCAGGTGCTCAAAGGCGAAACTAACATCTGTTCTTTTGTTTACTACTTAGCGGCTGTGTACCTGTGGGTTTATTCTGTGTGTATTTGGATGTTCTAATCTTGGTGCCATCCAAATAAAGTAGGTGTGTCTTGTTTACCTGAGATTTGCAAGAGTTTGAGCTGGCCAACCTGTTAGATTTTTTCATGTGGTTGATTACAAGCATGTTGATTTCCCATTTTTGAGCCATGTTTTCAACTTTGTTCATCATTTTCATATAGCAGTCTCATCATATGTTAACATTGTTGTCCATGGAGTTTCATGTAGTGGTATGAGACCTTAAGAACACATGACAATTATGTAACCAACATGGCTGACATTCAGCAATTTGAAATCAAATTACAAACCAATATAGACATGCCTCAAGCATTTCACCATGAGTGATGTCATGAGCTTTCCGCTGATGATTTGTAGAAAGTGGAAATGTCTGGATTAAAAAGTATTTATGCTACTGGTATTAAATGAAAGCAAAGGGAACTTGCTCAGATGAGGAAAGTTCAGAGAACACTATATCCATACAGCTTTGTAACTCAAATAAATTCTGAACCAATTACAGTCAAAATTATGCCTTGGGATGCTTAAACATGGTCACTATAGGTAGCTGATCTTTATATTATATAGAGGTGGTCAGTACAAATGTTTGCATTACTGTAAAGTGGTTAATTATTCACTGGGTTTTAATTTTGCTTATTTCGCTGACTGGACAATGCGCTAAATTAAAACCCAGTGAATATGTAAAATTTAGCATAGAACACATTATCTAAATGATAAAACTGTGAATTTAAAATCCACTGAATATGCCTGAAATGTTAAATCAGCGAAATTTAAACCCAGTGAAAATTAGTCATTTTACAGTATCAGGAATTAGAGTAATTTAATACTTACGAAAGAAGAAATGGTACCCAGTACATCAACCTTGGTAAGCACAACACTTTTTGGTTTGTTTGCACAGCAAGAAGAACTCTATCAGCTACGAACTGCGGAGCGAGAGGAGGCAATATACTGTAAAAAATGAAGAATGTGTAAACCATGCAGTGAGTTGCAATAAAATAAAGGCCGGATGGGGATGAGGTGATTCAAGATGTACTTAACTGAAGTTCTGTGTGTGTGTGTGTGTGTGTGTGTGTGTGTGTGGCTGAGTGGAATAGAATATATGGTGCCTCGATTACTAGGGCACCACATTTTGCAAATTTGTATGTATTTGTTCCAGAAATTCTTAGCTAGTTTTAGAGCAATGGAAATGAAATCTCAATCAAAAAATGAAAAATATTTTGTTTTCATGAATGTGAAAAATGATCCAAGATAAATGATACAATAACTAAAATTGTTGGTTTATGTGAGATTTAATGATAGATGGATTCGCTATTTAAGCAAATACAGCATGCAAAAACAAGCTGGGCATTTTCAAGTTTCTACATCAATATTTAAGTTTGTTTGTGTGTTACTTATTACAACAAATGTAAATTCATTTAAAGTTACCTATTGTTATAATTACTGAATAATTAAGATTAATTACCCAACGTTAACACCAGCAAACAATTCTGTATCAATATGATACGGCTGTACCAGGGTCATGTTCACCCCTTTAATATTGTCCATTATAAGCTCCATGGATACAGACTCATGTAAGGCTACAGCTGCATGCTTACTAGCGCAGTAATCTGACAGTTGTGGTGCGGAACAAGACCCCATTATACTGGCAATGGTGACGATATGGCCATGTTGCTGAGCTATCATGGATGGAAGAAATGCTTTCAATGTCTATAAGTAAAAGTGTGAAAATAAGTTATTTTATATACATTTTGTACTTTATTTTATGTGTGCTTGAGGAGGGGGGGGGGGCTAGAGTACTGTTGAAAACATATTATATTATTGTGAGAACTTGTTTATTATTGGTTTAGAAGATGTCCTTGAAAGACGGTGGTCATCATTCGTTCACATTTGCGTAACATTGTATCTCACAGGCAGAAAATATGTTTCATTTTACCCATAATGCATTTATGGTATCATAGTTGGTTTGTTTTTTTGTTTGTTGTAATGGTCAGTGTATTATATTACATTGCACTGAAACAGATGATTTACCAAATTACAATTCTATATTAAGTAGTTAAATTGCAGGTGTATTTGAGTCCCAGGAGACTTATTCATTTATGTGTAAAATACAATGTTTGTGCACACACAATTTCAAGGTATGCTGTGTAATGCTTGTGACCCTTCAATATCAGCGTCAATTTCATTTACGACCTGGATGGAGAGCATTGACTATCAATAACGTTTGTTTGAAAGGATGTCACAAAGCAGGACGTCCTGTAATACATTATTCATGAGGATGTTCGATTCAGAAAAACAAATGGTATTGAAAATATTTGCAAGCTAGACACTGAGAAAAAAAATGCATTCAAGTCATTACAAGTGGAAAATGTCGGCACAATCAAGAGAAATAAAAATGTGCAGTAAAAGAAAATACAGTTGTCACCCTCTGTCCGTTGAGT